CCTTTGGCAACTAATCGAGCCTTGTATCTCTCAAGAGTGCCATCAGAATTATATTTCAGGGCATAAACTCATCTGCATCCTACTGCTTTCTTTTCGTTGGGTCTATCAATAACCTCCCATGTTTTATTTCTCTCCAACGCATTCATCTCCTCTTGCATGGCTTGAGCCCAATTCCCATCTTTCAAAGCTTCATGTACTGATTTTGGGATTGAAGTAGAATCTAGTGCCGAAACAAAGCTTTTGTGCTGCACAGAAAGATTAGTAGAGGAAACAAAATGGGAGATAGGGTATTGAGTACAAGAGGGACAGGAGGAACAAGATTTCTTGGAACAAGTTCTTTTTCCTTTTCTTAGGGCAATAGGTAAGTCATCAGAAGCAGAAGCAATGGGTAAGTCGTTAAAGATATCAGAAGAAATAGACAAATCATGAGAGGCAATAATATTAGAATCAGAAACAGGAGATTTAGAAGAAACAGGAGATTCAGGACTTACCAGTGGTTCAGACGATTGAGGTTGCTGGTGAGACAGTATGGGTTGTTTCCTCCTCTGATATACCAATTCAGGTGTCAAAATTTTCCATATCTCAGGTGTATTTGAAGGTTCTGACACACCAGGAGCAGACACACTAGGAAGAGAGAAGACTGATCCAGACTCAGAGAAGGAATGGGACGAGTCTTCTGAAGAACTGTTCTCTCCTTGACGATGAAGACCCAGGAAATAAGATTCAGATTCTTGAAAGGTGACATCCATAGAAACAAAATTTTTCGACTTGGTGGATGATAACACTTGTACCCTTTTTTATAAGGGGTATAACCAAGGAAGACACACTTAAGAGCCCTAGGATCCAACTTACTCTGATGTTGTTTATGAACATGGACAAAGGCAACACATCCAAACACTCTTGGTGGAAGGCTCTGCAATATGAGAACAGAAGGAAAGATGGAAGTCATGGAATGAATAGGACTGATATTGTTAAGGACCCGTGAAGGTAAACGGTTGATCAAAAAAGTTGCAGCTAACACTGCTTCTCCCCAATAAGAACTAGGAACAGATGTCTGGAAAAGTAGTGCTCTAGAAACTTCAAGGAGGTGACGATGTTTCCTTTCAGCAACCCCGTTTTGTTTAGGGGTATCAACACATGTGAGCTCATGAATCATACCTCTGTCTGAAATGAATTGTGACAGGCGTTGGTTGACGTATTCAGTACCATTATCAGATCTTAGTCTTTTAATACCCTTACCAAACTGAGTCTCAACCATGTGATGAAACCGAATAAATATCTCTGGTACTTCAGACTTGTCTTTCATCAAGTATATCCATGTTACCCGAGTACAATCGTCAATATAAGAAACAAACCACCTTGCACCTGAAACACTGTGCACTTTAGAAGGGCCCCAAACATCAGAATGGATAAGAGAAAAAGGTTCCCTGCTTTTAATAGTGCTAGAAGGAAATGACACTCGATGGTGTTTTGCAAATTCACAAACATCACAATGAAAGGTCTCAACCGACTTATTGAGAAACAGAGAAGGGAACATAGACTTCAAAAGACTAAATAGTAGATGCCCCAGACGCTTGTTATGGAGCCAAATCATAGACTCTACAGTAGAAGGATGACGTGTCATTAATAACTGATTTTTGCTAGCATGGTCTGGAAGGAGATGATACAACCCATCCTGTTCATTAGCAACTCCAATTGTCTTCTTCGTGGTAAGATCCTGAATAACACAATTTGAAGGAAAAAATGTGATAGAACAATTCAAATCAGTTTTAAGTTTTTGAGTGGAGATAAGATTAGTAGAAAGCTGAGGAACATAAAGAACATTTTTAAGAAACAATGAAAGTTGAATTTGAATGTTACCAGAACCAATAATTGATTTATGGGATCCATCAGCTACGGATATAGTATGACTACCAACAGTAGGATGATAAGAACAAAACAACTCAGTACGACAAGCCATATGATCAGTTGCACCAGAATCCAAAATCCATGAGGTTTTAAAATTAGTGCAAGAAGCAAGAAGAGATATAGAACGTGTGCTCTTACCAGATAAGATCAAAGAACTGTCATTCTCGATCATTCTACAATAAAAAAGTTAACAACCACCGATAAAATCAACCAAACAGATTATCAAATGAAGTCTGATCAGTGAAACAATCACAGATCCAGACAGAGAACAAGGAGACGAGAAGAATGGCGGTGGTCCGAGGCCAAAATAAGGTGTCACGCGCCTCCACGCGCCAGTGGAGGTGGATGCGCATGGGCTTCACGCGCTGGAACTTGGGCGGCGCGTGGACTGTCCTCTCCGGCTGAAATTTTTGCACGGTGGTCGTCCGGCAAGCGCGCACCTGTCTGTGGGTGGTCGCGGTTGAAAAATCACCGGAAGGTGGTCCAGACGCGATGACAGATCTGTTTGGAGGTGTTTGGGCTGTGTAATCGGTGTTCGCGGCTGTTTGGAGGTGTTTGGGCTGTGTAATCGGTTTTCGAGGGTGTAATCGAAGAAAGATAACAGTGAACAGTAGTTCTCTTGGTCCAAAAGGTCCCCAGAAAAAAAAAATTGGTGGCGGCTGATGGCAGCAAGAGGCAAAGGGATCAGGGTTTTTTTTTACTCTAAAGGCAAATAGGCGCGGAAGCAGAACCCTCAGATCGAGAGCTCTGATACCAATTTGAAAAAGAGTATTCTAATATATTATAGAATTGCAAATCATATGTACAAAAGGGTTCTCTATTTATAGAGAATACAAGACCTAGAATACTTGACCTAATGGGCTAAGCCCAATACAACAAATAACAAATAAATAAATAATAATATTTACAAGATAAAGGTTCCATTTGTTGATTGCAGGAGTAACGGTGAAACACTATGCACACTCAGATTTGGAGAGCGAGTAAGGTCCATTAGAAATGAGCTAGTTATTAATGAAGTAAAGGGGGCTGACTTAATTTGAGTGATAAAATCTGGCACTTGGAGTTATTGGAAATAGTTTTTGAAGGATTAAACTAATGCAAATCTTTAAATTACAATGTGGTTTCTTTAGTTTAGGAAAAAATAGAGCAAAATCATGTTTTGTACTTCGTATGATTGTTTATGCATTCCACATGATTGGTCTAATCCTGTTCCGTAACAATTTTAGTTTAATGCCATTAGTACGAAATGACAGCTCTCTCTTTTATGTTGTTAAAACAGTACCATTGTCATGTAACATTGGTGCTTTGATTTATAAGTGTCATAATACGTTTATGATCAGTACTAATTTGGACCTTTAAAACATAAAGGATTTGGAGGGAAAAGAAGGGGGGAACAGTTTATAATATAAAACAAAAAAACTGGGAATCTTATTGTTCAGTTGAATAATTTTCTGAAAGTTTTCAACAAATTTCTCAAATCTTCCAAGACATTAACATAAAATCGAAAGGCAAAAAGAAATTGCATGAAACTTTTGTTTTCTTATTCTGAAATGAAAATGCTTATGTCCAAAAAAAAAAAAAAAAAGTCTATTATTCCAGTAAAATAAATTGTTATAACATGTTGCATATATTATACATCACAAACTGTAACTTTCACATGTCAAATAATGCAATTCCAGATATACTCTTTATTTTGGGAGTAAGTTGCCAAATCTGAAGCAAAAAGGGACAATGCTGCCATTCTGAAGGGAAACATGCAGAATCTACGTTTCAAACCACGGGAAGCTCGGTACCTATCAAGTGAGAACATAGTATAGAGCATTACAGTGGTAAGACTATTGATAAAAAACAAATTGCAACTAAATAGCTCTTGAGGGACCACAACAATATCTTATAATTCCTTATTGCTGATCAAACATTTTTTGTCCATAATTTCTAATTTCTAATGAGTCTTGCAGAATAAAAAATAAAAAATAAATCATATATCAAAAGAAAATGAAAAAGGCAGACAAACTGGAGAAAATATTGAGTTAGATAAAGATGCATATTTTTTATGACTAACAGTAAACATAAGTAACAATATCATTATGCAGTAACGAGGAAGAAAAAGGCACACCTAAAAGTAAGACGCTTTAATATTTTCAACTCCTTGAGTGCTGCATAATGTGGGTTTTGTTTCCTTCTTCTTGAGTGTAGATAGTAATCCTGATAAGGGGCACATGCTTGAGGATCGGGTGCTCTTGTCCTCCATCATCAACAATGCTCTGATTGAATTCAGCTGGCATATTATCCACATCAAGAACTTCAAGTTTCTCTAAGTATTGGATGCCAGAGGGCACTGTCTTGAGTTCAGGGATACTATTTAACTGGAACTTCTTCAGAGAAGGCAATGCTCCTTTGTCGATAAAGATGGAATTCAACTTGAGTAAAGAATCAAGGCATAGTTCCTTTAGTTTCTTAAACCCTTCATTTTGAAAATGCAAACTTTGACCTTCATATGCAGTCATGCCGATATAGAGGAACAACAAATTTGGCACATTTTGTAGTGATTTCATTGGATCATCGGTTAACATGGAGGCCTTCAAGGAAAATTTAACAAGATTTTGAAGATCTGGAACCTTATTTAAAATGACATCTAAGCGAAGCATCCGAAGCATAGGAGGTGGGGATGAAATAAAATACAAATCAATGACTTCATTTCCTTTAATAATTAGTTTCTGCAAGTATTGCATCTTACTTATTGAGGAACATATGGCGCTTCCGTGTTCTTTCATAACATCAGTCAAGCTCAATTCCCTTAACTGTCTCAATTTTCCCAACTCTCTAATTAGCTTTTCCCCATCTTCATCCACTCCTGCATCACGGAGTGTTTGTAGGGATGTCATGAGTTCAATACAATCCTTCAATTGAATTATAGATGTCGGAAAACTCAGAAGAAGATGTCGTAGCTTTTTAAGCTTGCTAATCTCCCTTGGCAATTCACGGAGATATGTACCCCTTATATCCAAGGTCTCCAGGTTCTGAAGCTTACCGATGGATTTTGGAAGATTGAGTAAAATTGCATACCTGAAGCTTAAATACTTTAAGTGGATTTAATCCCCCAAATTCTTAACAATACGATCAATTGTTGCATCTTCATGATAGACTCCCGCATCTTCAAAATCAAGTACCTTCAATGGCTTGGAATTCGTAAAGAGAATCTTCACAAAGTCTTCAGATAAATCTTCACGTATAAAAACAAACAAGGATCGAACGTCTGAGCTTTCAATACTTCTCATTAAACTATCAGCTCTGCTTGATATTGATAGACGCCTAACTATCCCACTTAAGTCAGACTCACCATCTTCACTAATAAAGTGACAAAAACTTAAATCCTTACACTTTCTAAGGATCATGTCGCGCAATAGGTCATGAATGCGACAACTCCTAATTTTACCATCCATGGTTAATGAAGAGACTTGCACCAAACTTCTATTAACCAACTCTGTTAAATATTCTTTTGCAACTTCTTCCAAAGTTTTTCTCCCTTCTTGTTTGATAAATCCCTCAGCTACCCATTGCCGAATCAATCTTTTTGATTTAACTTCATGGTCTTCTGGATATATTCCAAAATACAAGAAACATTCTTTGAGATAGTAAGGCAAATCATGATAACTAAAAGCTAAAATCTTTGTTATAGCATCTAAATGGGAATTCTTATGCAATTCTAAACTTAGATTTTGACTAAAAAATTCCCATTCAAATGCATCTCTACCTTTGGTAGATAAAAGGCCACCAATGGCCACAATTGCTAGTGGCAAACCCTCACATTTTTTAACAATTTCGGAAGATATACCCATAAGGTTTTGTGGACAACATCCGTTCAAATCATATCTGAATGCCTTCCTACAGAACAACTCAAAGGATTTCTCATGAGTTAATGGTTGTAGCTCATGCACTTCAACAAAAGAAGTTTTTTTACTACAACTTGCAACACGCATGTCTCTAGTTGTGATAAATATCCTGCTTCCGTTTTCATCATCAATTAAAGCAAATTCAATTTCATCCCAGAAATGTTCATTCCATACATCATCAAAGAGGACAACGTATCTCTTTTGCTGCAAGTAGCTTCTTACTTCCTTTATCAATGAGTCTCGATTCATTGTAGCAATATCAGCAGGAGGAACCTCCTTCTTTTCTTTGCAAAATTGTTGCAACATGTCCCTCAACAATCCATCCACGGTGTACGACTGAGATACTGTGACCCATGCATGGCAATTGAAGTACCCAATCACTTCTTTGTTATCAAAAACTTTCTTGGCAAGAGTAGTTTTCCCTTGCCCTCCCATTCCTATCAAAGAGATGACAGTGCGCTTCGCTCTTCCCTTTACCAACCAACCAATCAATTCAGCTTTAGGGACTTCAAAGCCCACAACATCAGCTTCCTCAGTGTAAAAAGGAAGCATTTGAAGGTTATGCAATGTGACGTCTCGGTTTCTGCTAGAAGTGGCTGGTGCCTGTTCCAAAGAAGATTGGATTAGGAAGCCATCTCTTTCACTTCTTTCCTTGATTTCACGAACTTGTAATTTAATACCCTTAATCTTAAATGCTATTTGAAGACGAAGGGTCATAGTTTGGATGAAGACAGCAGGCTCACATGGTAAGACTACACAACCAGGATCAGAAGGCTGTTGTTCCCCACAGGAAGTATATTCATCAATGACATCTTCTATGCGAAAAACTGCTTCTCTCACCAACTTAACCGCTGTTTTGATTCCTTCCTGTGTTTTATCATCTTCAACTTCTGCCTTTCTATCTGCATCATTGATGAAGGCTATAATAGCCCATATTAATTAATTAGGAAATCAAGTGTAATTAATTAATTAAACATGTTTTACTGGGTGAAATTAAGTGTGAGGCTTAATAAAATGAATCTGAGTCACTTTGGAGTTAAAAAGTGTACTCAGTGAAAATTAAGGGGTATAAATGGGTACTGTCAAAAGTACCCAAAATATAAAAATAAAAATAGTAATATTCCTAGAATAATATTCCAGACTTTTGGGTAAAGTTTGGTAATTATTGGAGTTGAATAGATAGACGAACTAATACCCACATGTTACCACTTAACTTATGTTAAGTGATAAAATGCAAAAAGAACCCATCTCCCCCCAGAAACCCGTCGAGGAACAGAGGCAAAGAAGGAGAAAGGAGAAGAAGGGAGAGAGAGAGAGAGAGAGGAAGGAGGAAACCTTGATGGTTTTGGGTGATTCAAAAGCCTAAATTGCTTAGAATCTTCTCCTCTTTCATAATCCTAGCTTTGTTTTGAGTGGGGAGCATTGTGGAGAGGGATATTGCCTCTCAAAAATTCGGCCATTGGAGAGATTTTGGGGTTTTGAGAGTTTCTACCTCCATTGAAGCTTGAGGAGCCATCAATCCTTGGTTGTGTGACCATTGGTGGTAAGATTCTAACCCTTGAACCTCATGATTCCTTGAAATTTGCATGAGTTAGGGTTTGTGAATAGTAAATTGGGATTTTTATGAAATGTAGTTGAATTAGCTATGTTCTAGGAAGAATGGAGCTTAGAGCATGTTATGGAAAATGCTAGGAATGTCATTTAATCGGTGGAAATGAGCCTAGATAATCATTTGATAATTGTTCATAATATTGGAAAATTCATGCTTGGATTGGTTAGTATTCTAGCATGTTGAACAATTAGTGAGTTGAATGATTGATTGGATCCTTGTGATGTCTAGGATTGAGACATTTGGACCAACCGTGAGTGATCAACCATTGGAGCAAGCTATGGAGCTTGAATAGCTCATTGGAATTGGTAAGCTCATACTTGTGTTGTGCTTTGAATTGAGTAATTGATGGTTGATTGTGAAATACTCTTGGATGCAATGTGTTGATTGCATTACACCATGTGTAGGTGTATGTTTGTAAAAGTTGATTGCTGAAACTGTTGGTGAAGAACAAAGGTTGACTGAAGCATTGAGGTAAGCCTTCGGACCTTGGGTGTAATTCCCTTGACTGTTCTACCAAGCCCTGAAAGGGTGGAGGTTGTGATTGTGTATATAAATGCAATAAAATAGTGTAATGCTTTGTTATACGTATGTGTATGCATTTGGTGTGGCATAGGATGGTGTTTCCCTATGTTGGTATGTGGCATGACGATGCGTAAATCATACTTGGTAGTTAGCTGGCCAGTAGGACTATTTGCATCTGAGTTTCCTTAGGACAGCTTGAGAGCTCGAGGGATTTCTCCTGGAGATGTATAGCACTTTGCATAGATATGTATTTACTGCATTATTATTGTTATTGCTATTACACTGATATGGAACTGTGGGGTGGAGAGATGCTCCAAGGACCCCTGGTTTACTGGATATATTCGTATATCTCACCCCGTGTTGTGGGGACCCCCTTTCAGGTAAGGATGCTGCAGGAGCCTCTGGTGGCAAGTGGCCATATCTGGATTATGCATGAAATGTGGCATTTCTTTTGAGATTGTACATGTTGTTTTGTAGCTCACATGTATAGAATTAAATGAATAGGCAATGCTAGATTTATGATTTGTATATTGGAATGGACTTAGCCTATGCTCATGCCTTTGGTCATCTCTTTTGTTGATGAGAGCCAAGGGAATGATCATAGTATTTTGTAAGCTAAGTTCCATGATTTGTAATGGGTATGTAATGTAAATGATGCCACTTGAAATTCAGATATGCATGCTATCATGTATTGAGTTGTGAATTGGTTGGGCTGAAAATCAATTAGGTACCCTTTTGTTTAAACTGGTAAACGATGAGAAAACAAAGGTCATGCTGCCCAAATTCTAGCTAAATCTCATGAGGAGAAGCTGGATGAGTGCTAGGATTTAGTTTGGGGCATGGACAATTGGGGTTTGTAATGGGGATGCATTTTCCCCTAGGCTTGGACTTGAGAAATGTGGGAATTGGAATCCCCTGGCAGCGCGCTTAAGCGCCCAGGAGCGCGCCCAAGCGCCCTGCTGCCCCTGCGAATGCCAATGCATTCTGCCTCCTCGCGCTGGAGCGCCCAAGTGGGGGCTTAAGCGCCCAGGGTTGCGCGCTTGAGCGCCCTGGTCCGCGCTTAAGCGCCCTTCGCCACTGAAGGAGGTGATGCTTCTGTCTCTGCGCGCTAAAACGTCCCAGTGGGAGCTTGAGCGCCCAGGGTAGCGCGCCTGAGCGCCCTGTTGCGCGCTTAAGCGCCCACCCACACTGGAATGCCTGATGCTTACTGCCTCCGTGCGCTTAAGCGCCCAGATGGAGGCTTTAGCGCCCGATAGCGCGCGCTTGAGCGCCCGGTAGCGCGCTGAAGCGCGCTGGGCCTGTGACCAACACTCTCTTGTGTTGCTTCAAATGGTCCTAACTTGGGCTACAGTGCTCCGATTTGAGCACGGTTTGAAGCCACAGGTAGCTAATGAAGAAACCTACAATATAGTAGAAGTATTGAACTAAACAAGAAGTAAATTAAAGGTTTAAAAATGGAAAATGAACATGATGTTAAGCTTAATTTATCTGTTTCCGCAAGGTAATTTGGTTATGATCACGAAATTGGGTATTATAAGTTCGGTACGTTTTAAAATGAAAAATTTATCCGGATTTTAATTGAACCCATGTGATTGTAACTGCGCTTAATATCATAATGCGATGTTAACAAACCGGTTCTAGAACGGGGTGTTACATTTTATGGTATCAGAGCAGTTTCGTCGGGAATAACTGTTAGCTATTGTTGAGTATGCTTAGTGTTTGATGCTTTATAGTTGTTTTAGTACTCTGTATGATTATTGCATTTGTGATCACTAAGTGTGGGCCTGATCAACTCACTTCTTTGTGTAACATGTGTAGTGACATGACGAGGAACCGAAACAACCCCGGACCATCAAACACCAATGCTCAGCCAGAACCTGTTTTGGCTGCTCTTGTGAGGCCTAGAAGTGGCCGTGGGGCAACGGGCGTACAGCCTGATCCCGTGGCTGAAGCTCTTGCAGCCGTTCAGAGAGAGTTGGCTGCTAGCAGGCAAGCCAATGAAAATTTGTTAAAGACAAATGAAGACTCGCGGACTGCTATGGCCGCGATGATGACCGAGTTGAGGACGTTGAGGGGTCCTAGGCCCGTGAACCGGCAACCCACTCCTCCTCCTCACACTGCTACGCCTTCTCCACCTCCTTCACAGGAAGAGGGTGGAGTGGGTAACAATGAGGGTGAGGGTAGCCATCACTCTGGAAGTCGGAGTCATCACACTGAGGTTCGTCAACCTCAAGTTGAAAATGTCGGTGATCATGAAATGGAGGAAAGGAGACTGATGGCTTTCCAAAACATAAACCTCCTTCTTTTAAGGGAGGTTATGAGCCAATGGCGGCTGCAAAATGGCTCCAAGCGATGGAGAAGATATTCAGGGTGATGAGGTGCCCTGACGCAATGAAGTTGGCTTACTCTGTTTATATGCTGGAAGAGGAAGCAGAAGATTGGTGGACAAATACCGTGCAGCCATTAGAAGCTGAAGGTCGGGAGATCACATGGCGGTTATTCGAGACATTGTTCTTGGATAACTACTTCCCTAGAGAGGCTAGGGAACAAAAGCAGAATGAGTATAACGATCTCAAACAAGGGTCGATGTCTATTGACCAATACTTCTCAAAATTCAATGAGTTGGTGAAATACGCCAACTATGGGCGAGCCTTACCCACCCCGGCTGAAATGACCTCCAAGTTCCAATGGGGTCTTAATGAGAAGATGTCTCGGAAGATGTCAAATTGTGACATCCGAGAGTTCAGTCGGTTTGTAAACCAGTGTAGAAAGGTGGAAGAAGTGTATAAGGTGTCCCAAACCAAGAAGTCTTCTGAGGCCCAGGCACCTAGTTCCAATAAAGCAACGAGCTCAGGTTATTGGAAGAACAGGAAGGTGCAAGGCAAGAAGCTGAATGCGAATAAGCCCTTTGACTTGTTCAAAAAACCCGGTACTCAGAAGAAGTTTGTTGATAGAGGACCTCCTCCCAAGTGCAAGGGATGTGGCAAAGAGCATAGGGGTCCATGTGCTACTGGTGAGGTGATTTGCTTTAAATGTGGAAGATCCGGTCACTACTCCAGGCAGTGTCCTCAGAACGAAGCAAGGACTATGGCAGTTCAAGCTACTGCTGTTCCGGTCTCTGTTGTTCAACCTATGCTAGAGTCTCAGACGGTTGGTAGAGTATATACCATGGACCGTCAGCAATCGGAGAAGGCTCCGAATCTAGTGAAAGGTACAATTTACATTGATAATATGGATGTTGAAGTGTTGTTTGATTCAGGAGCTACACACTCCTGTATGTCTGATTTTAATTAAATCAAGGAGGTTTATGTAATCCAACTTCATTGAATAGGGAAGTATTAAATCATGATCATGAATATAGACACTCACCGCCATTTGAGACTCTCATTGCCAACACTTGAAATGGGGAATACTAGTTTGTACAAACCGACTAGCCTCGATCTGCATAGTATGATACTCTACCTCTATTTCCGAGCATTTAATGGCAACATTGATCACTTTTTTCTGCATTGTGACATAAGATAATTAAATGCTCTTTGCCACATCCCTTGCACTTAAACAGAGTAAGCCAACTTCATTGCGTCAGGGCCTCACCAAAATTCTTCTGAGTACCGGGTTTTTTGGAGCCATTTTGGCCGCCATTGGCTCATAACCTCCCTTAAAAGAAGGAGGTTTATGTTTTCGGAAAGCCATCAATCTCCTTTCCTCCACTTCATGATCACCGACATTTTCAACTTGAGGTTGACGAACCTCAGTGTGATGACTCCGACTCCCAGAGTGGTGACTACCCTCACCCTCATTGTTACCCACTCCACCCTCTTCCTGTGAAGGAGGTGGAGATTAGCAGTGTGAGGAGGAGGAGTGGGTTGCCGGTTCACGGGCCTATGACCCCTCTACGTCCTCAACTCTGTCATCATTGCGGCCATAGAGCTTCAGATTTTCATTGGCTTGCCTGCTAGCAGCCAACTCCCTCTGAACGGCTGCAAGAGCTTCAGCCACGGGATCAATTTTGTACGCCCGTTGCCCCACGGCCACTTCTAGGCCTCACAAGAGCAGCCAAAACAGGTTCTGGCTGAGCATTGGTGTTTGATGGTCCGGGGTTGTTTCGGTTCCT